CTGCTCAAGAGGAAGACGAGGCTGTTTGCCGCTGGTCAGACCTCCACTTTTCTTCAAGCCCCCACCCGCCACTTTCCTTTCTTGAGGGGACCCAGTACCAACTTATTTTTAGATCTCTTTATATTCCCCTTCTAGGATCCCTGGTGGCATGGTTGTTATGTGTTGGGCTGTGATCGGAATCGTCGGCAGTTTGAAACCATCAATAGCTGCTTGGGAGAAAGACTGGGCTTTCTACTCGGGGAAACAGTTAGTCTCGGAGCCCTACAGGGAGTTGCTGTAAGTCAACATTGACTTACATAAGTCAACATTCCCCCTGGTGGCACAGTGGACTACAGATTGAGCTCTTTGCTTACCACAAGGTCAGTGGTTTGAACCCATGAGTCCCTCTGTGGGAGAAAGATGATGCTATCTATTCCTATAAAGCCTTAAAATTGACTGATGGTTTGGTTTTCTGTTTATGTGAATGTTTCCCCTGGATGTGGCAACCGATTACAATTATGTGTACCGATTAAATGATTTGACCCCATCCGGAGGTTTCTTAGACTATAAACTTGGTGATCTTCTGAAACAGGAACCCAAGCCCTAACAGGTTAGTGTGGCAAAATTGGGAGAGGGAACGGAAAGGTTACCCACCTCCATTTTTTTTTTTTTTTTGCCTGAGAACTGCATTCAACATTAGCCAAGCCAATCTGGCTAATGTTTAAAGATTTCATATGCATCTGTGACTATTTGTTCTCTTCAAATCAACAGCAATTAAGACCAGCAAGCCTAGGCTCTGGTCCCCTCTGGTGGTCCCCCTCACTCAATTGACTCCAACTTGGCCTTGACCCCCACCGCAAGCCCACCAGCATGGTGGTCTGTCACAACAGCATGCCTCTGTCCGGTCCAACTGCATCCTGGCTGGAGAACCGGCCTTTACCTTTTTATTTTTGCATTAATTGCATTGAAGTTATTCTTTTTAGGTTACAATATTTTTAAGCTCTTAGATTTTAAAACAAACAAACAAACAAACAAACAAAAAAAAACCCCAAGCAATTCAAGCACATGATTAAAAACAAGAAAGGATGTAAAGTTTCCAAAGACATTCACAGAGGAGAGTCAGTCTCCTTTCAACTCCAGACCCTCAGTCTCCAGGGGCAACCACTGGGTGTCCTCCCAGACAGGCACTCTCTCTACTGAGGCTTTTTTGCTGACAGAATGTGATCGTGATCTGACCCCATCTGCCAGCCTTTCTTCCTTGCTTCACACGCGCCCTACTGGCCTCCACCTGCTTCCTCGAGCAAGGGTTCCCTGATCCTCACTACAGCCTTTATACCTGCTGCTGTTTGTCGTCCCCACCTTGCCCTAGACATGTGCACACTGCGTTCTCTCACTTCATCCTTGTTTCTGCTCAGATATCAGCACCCAGAGAGAGACCTCTGATTACCCTACCTAAAATAGCCGCCTCCCGCCATTCTCTTCTCCCCTGTGCCCTTCGCGAGCACCTGTCAGCAGCTCTGTGATTGGTGTTGTACACTTATCAAACTCTACCTCCATGAAAGCATGTGTTCTGCGAGTGCACATATTTTATCTGTTAGTCACTATTACATCCAGCCCGAGGTCTGTTTGGGTGCAACAGGATTCACGCTCACCTCAACAGGTACCCATTTCCCGAACTGGAAGTGTTCCTCCATTAAAGATATCGTCTTCATCTTATATTTCAAGTACTTCATGTCTGAGCCTGATTCCGAGTTGCAAACTCGATTTGAACATGGTGTGGCAGTTACAAGCAGAATTTTAAGTCTTACCCTACACTTCCTTGTTACACAATTGCACGCAAGGCTCTGTAGCCTTAATTGACTCAACTGTTAAAAAGAGACAATAAACCTATTTCACAAGGTTATTTTGAGGGTTAAATGAAACCAGACATTTAATGAGCTTGTTAAATTGTAAGCACTCAACACATGGGAGCTAATTTCGTTATTAATATAACATCATTCTATTAGCATTTTTCTAACTATAATATTAATATTACTAGAGAGGCTTCAAAAAGTTCATGGAGAAATCCCATAATCTTTACATTCCATTTCTTCCATGAACTTTTTGAAGCTTCTTTGTATTTCCTTGAGATTATTTTCTCCCTTGGCTGTGCAGATAGGATTAACTAAGCCATTCTGAGAACGTGGGACAACGTAACAGAGCTACCTCCCTGTCCTTGCAGATGGCTGGCTTATGTCATCACCACTCATTATTGGTTATTGCAGTTACAAAGAAATCTATTAAATGATAAATGCTTCAACATAGTTTATATTTAGATAGGCCCTATCTACGTAGAGCTCAATTACTGTACCCAAAACATTGCTATTTTATCTTTCAGTGTCAACGAACTATGTTTAAAGACAATGTCAGATTGCCTTCAAATTTGATAACAAGTTGGCGAAATGCTTTCTTGGCATTTTTTCTGTTGCCGCGGGGGAGCAGCATGGTTAGCAATGCCAGGGATGGGAGTGGAGAGAAGTAAATGCCTTTCAACAAGAATCTAAAAAGAAACTATTTCTTCAGTTTCTAGGTAAGAATTCCTATTTAACCCCAGACATCATAGGGCGAGATATTAGTTAAATGAATTTAGACTCAATCAGTTCATCCATAGGATCATATTTAAGATGATCTGATTCAGGAGAGGAAAACTACACCGACGAGAGAATTACACGTCAGTAGAAAGTGAATAGTCAAGTCTTATGCACAAATTAAAACAACCTTATGCTATTGTTTGTCATGGATTCAGCTTGGTGAGCATTTAGAAAATTAAAACTCCCCTGTCTTGCTGAGGCTGTATGGAAAAGAGCAGCCCTGACTTTCTGGAAGACAGTTTGACCATAAGCAAACAGGCTTAAATACAATTTTACTACACTTGATCTTAGCCAAAAGGCCGAGAAGCGATGCTTCAATAAGATTTTAATAAGCAAATCCATATCGATGGGTGTTTTTCCCCTAAGGAGTTAATCAGACAAACGTGTAGCTATATGTACAAATGTGCTTATGAGTTGTGTAGTTTATGAAAGCCAAGTTTAGAAAACAAAAAAGCCTAAATGTCTACCAGTGGGAGAACAGTTTCAGAAATCGTGGTACATTGAGGGAATACTCTAAAAATGAGCAAGGAAAGAGGTGTCAAATTAAAAAAATAACATTTTCAACAACTATATAGTATCACAAAGAAAAAGTGAAAGGGGGAGAGGAAGAGGGGGAAAAACTGTGTTGCTTCCTGGAGGGGTGGGCTTACAAGTGATGTGAGCTTTCTCCATCATACTTTTCTGTCTGGCTTTACTTTTACACTAGATTTTACTTTAACTGGGGAAAACCAAAATTATATGCATGAAATAAAAGACTGAAGAAAATGCTAACCGTAGCTGTCTTTGGACTTGAAGGAGGAGAACAAAGGTTCCATTCCAACTGATCTTCCGGAGGACTTTCAAAATGAGTGGACACGCATATGCAGGGATGGTGATTCTAATCTGGGAGGACAACGTAAGACCCACAGTATGTCCGCAGATTCTTGGCAAACACTTCTCTGTGGTTCTATGGTCAGGGGCTCCCATTGTTTATGATACAGCCAGTCAGACAGGAGGCTCCTCCACTCTCTGCCTTACCTTTCAAGGGAAGGGATCCCCTCACCATCAACAGTCTCACATTCGCTGGTATATACTGGCTGCTCTTGGGTCAACATTTATATCAATAGTGATGCATACATGTTTTGGGTCCTGTCATCTAATTTTTTTCTCATTAGAAATTAATGTATTTTTAGTTGAGAAAACATCAAACGTTAAAGTGGAAAGAATCAAGGGGAAAAACCTCAAACCTATAATCTTATCATAACAATGGTTCATTTTTTAACATCTTTCTTTTTTATCTTTTTTAACACACACTTGTCATCTGATTCCCCCTCAGTTGTGTATTGGTGGTTTTTTTTAATATTATTGAAAACACTTGATTATATTTTTAATCACCCAAGTCTATTTTTTTAAGTACTGTCTATTTGTTCCTGTATCATTTCAAGTCGAAGAACCTTTTATATGCTCAAAATCAGTTTAATACAGGAATCCTGGGAAAGACTTCCTCCCATGGTTAAAGTCTTGATCTGGTCCTTACCAATAATTGCAACACTTACATAATCTCAGTTTCAAACACCGCTCCCACCCCTTCCCTGCACTCCACCCCCTTGAGGACTCTACTTTTTTACTAGGTTAAGCAATCAGCAGATCTATTTTTTTCATTGTTAGTCCCTTGCTTTATGCCCTCATTTTCTTCCTTACCCAGATTAATTTTTACAAAATGGACAGTCACTCAGTACATACACTCTCATCTCCCTCACAACCTCTTGGCTAAACCCACCTCTCCATCTACACTGTACCAATACCCATGCAGCTGAATGTTCAAATCCTATTTTTAATGCCATCGGTACAACAGCATCTAGATTATTTCAAAGAATACTTTTAAAGGTACACTATTCTCCTTTCTAGTTTTCCTATGAGTGCCCCATTTGTTATTCGGTGATCACGCAGTGGCTGTTTATGGGGAGGTTCATTTAGCTCTTGCCCATCTGGACTAACCCACCTGACCCCCACCACCTACCCACGTAACACATCAACCAAACCCACTGGCCTGTGCTGCCCTCTGGAGTCTCAGCTTTCCAAGCGCTCCCTGTTGTGTGGCCTTGGGCCGGTCACTTCACTTCTGTGGTTCTCCCTTCTCTCTATATACATGAGGCATTTGGGGTTAAATAAACACAGAGCTAATTTCACCCAGCTCCTCAAACCAACACGTGTGATTTTGAAAATTCAAGAATGAAAAAAATTTAGTAAGCAAACCCAAGTGTTCCTCACCATACCACCCTACTCTCCTCAACATGCTGAGATAATGTCAACCATCTGGCGAGCCTTGTTATTGTTCGTGTAGTACTGAACCGTTCCTTGGCCCGGCCATGTGTCCCACCCAGTACCCTTAATGGAAATGCAAACACTCACCGTGAATTTCTCATAGAGCTCATAAGTCAGGAGGGGGTTGGGAAGCTCTCTAAAGTAGAGCTTGCAGAGTGAGCCCACACAGTGGATGTCCTGGAGGTATACTTCCCTTGTCAGATCTGGACCTTGATCTGAGCCAAACTCCTGCCTGAAACAACACAGACAAAGACATAACAATCCCAGGGAGCATGTGTTCCACGTCCGTAGCTGCTTGGTCTGCTTTGTAAGAAGACCCAACACTGCTGATCTGGCTATATTTTGACATTGGTTAAAAATGACCTTTTAGGGGGAACAGATTACAAGTATCTACATAGAACTTCCTCCCTGGGGGACAGACAGTGGAGAAGTGGGTGAAGGGAGACATCGGACGGTGTAAGATATGACAAAATAATAATTTATAAATTATCAAGGGTTCATGGGGGAAGGGGAATGAGGAGGGAGGGAAAGAATGAGGAGCGAATACCAAGGGCTCAAGTAGAAAGCAAATGTTTTGAGACTGATGAGGGAAACAAATGTACAAAAGTGTTTGACATGATGGATGTATGTACTGTGGTAAGAGTTGTACGAGCTTCCAATAAAGTGATTTAATTAAAAAAGACCTTCTACTCCAGGCCCAAGCTATGGAAAGGCTTCCACTTCAAATCCGGACCTCCCCTAAAAACACTGCCGTGATGAGGAAGGCATAATGTTCACTTCCAAGGGCATTTCCCACGGGCTGTATGTCTCCGTTACGAACAGTGGGGAAATACGAGAACCATTGGCTCAATAAGCCTACTGAGATTTCAGTTTTTCCAAAATATTGTTTGAAACCAACCGCCCGTTCTTAGAGGCGAGACCAAGGCCAAGTGGGTCAGGCTGCTCTCATTTATCTCGGTAGAGTCACCTGTCACATCTTATGTGGAGACTCACACACAAGATTTGAGAATGTTCATCAAATAACTCTTAAATGTTGAATGGGACCTTCTAGGCTGCCTGAAGCCACCCGCACAGGCTGCTGTCAGATGCCATGGACATGAGCACATGGACGTGTGTACAACAGATCCCGTGCCATCCTCACAGCGGTGGTTCTGCTTCAGAGAGATGAGCTTAACTACATATCTTCCTAAATAATCTACAGTGGGGTATCTGGGATTATTACCGGATTTCAGGCTAGGTGTGACCTTCCTAATTTAGAGAACATTCCGAGAAAGGTTGATGCGAATTCTACAGAGCCTCCAGTCACGGATACTTAACAGGTTGTGGTAGAGATGAGCCAGCCCGTTTGCATCATAATCTAACTGTGCTTCCACAGGGTTTCCAGTGGCAGATGTTTCAAGATTAGGTCAATAAGCCTTCTTTCAGGGTGGCTCTGAGTGGACTCGAACTGGCAACCTTCCAGATGGCAGCCTAGCATGTTAATTGTCTGCATCCCCCAGGGGCTCCCACACATACTTGCCAGTTAGAAAATCTGTATAGGAAGTGAGATATTTGAGCTTTCTCCTAGAAAAGAAATCGGTCTTCGGAAGAGGCAGGCGGTGGCAAAGTCAAGGGGACTTTCAGTGTCAGCACTTTCAAAAGAGCATGGTGGCCATTCTTCTGTTGTTCGTTTGCGCCCATTAATAAAGGGAGGGAAGCCCTTCGTGTGGATTTCAGGAAACAAACTGAGTGAAGCCTTGAAAAGAGACCATACAACGGCCGACAAATGCCTAGGCATGCCATTTTCCTTTTTAGAGGTCAAAACAAAACAACCTAGAACTTATTCCTTTAGTTAACATTTTCGCCTGTCCAGGTTTAGCTCAGTCCTTAATTAAAAATAAAATTTAAGGACTAATTTAAGGACTGATCTAAATTAGCCATCACCCAAGTGGCATTCCATGACACCAACTAATGGCTGCATATTTTAGAGCTAAATCACTGTATTAGTCTAGGTACTTTAGAGAAACAAATCCACAGCAACTCATGTATAAGAGAGTTTTATGTAAAGAACGTGTGCATCACGAAAACATCCCAACCCAATGCTGCCCACGCCCACAAGTCCACCATTAACCCATTAACCCAACACCAGTCCACAAAGTCCTCCAGCTCACAAAACAGAGGCAATAATGCCGACTGCAGGAGGAAAGCTGAGTCAGTGAACGAATAAGCATCTCAGCACTAGCAGGGGTCTCCACACGGCTGCTCCAGCACCCAGGGCTGCATCGGGATAGGCCCATGTAGCTTCTCCTTGGGGATGTCTTATAGGAAGTCAATCTTGCAAGCTGAAGCAGGGAACTGCTAAGGCAGCTGCACCCTGGTGCGACCATCACAAAGCAAGAGACCCGAGAACTAGAAAGGTGAGGCTCACCACCCATTTATCCCTCCACCTTTCAAAATTAGCCCCACATGTGATTATCGGCCAGGTTGGCACAATTAACTAACTCAATCACTAAAAGGCATTTGTTGAAACTAAAAAAATATCACTGGTGTAATGAGTGGAAATTACTTAAACACAGATTCACTCAAGTCTATGGTAGCAAATAAGTTTTTGTTGTTGTTTTGTTTTATTTTTAATTTTAATCCTTTGGTATAATTTAATTATGATTAAGATTTTTGGGGGAAAGGCAGAAAACCAAATAGGAGGCAGACAGAAGTAGAATTCCCTTAACTCCACCATCGATTGAACTTTAATTATTAACCTTGAAGCGAGATTATTTTTATTGTTTTAAAATCCACATTTATAATTGAAAAACAGAAAGTAAGTACAGTATACAAAACCAGCATGTGCTAAAATATATTCTACTTGGTGTAAATGGATAACATTTAAAATACACATTTAGACAGAGAACGTTTTCACATATACACACACACATATATACTAAATAGAAACACACACAAATATACACAAATACCTGTGTGTGTATGTTTTATGGTTATTACTGTCCTGATATATTGGGGTTTTTTTTTGTTTATTTGAGACGAACTTGCCTATCATTAAGGACTCCATGTCCACTTCAATTTCACTTTGTCTCTTCTTATTTTAAAATTACCAGACCACTATTTAAGTTGGAGGGATAAGGAATCTGGAGGGATTTTTTTCTTAGGGTGGGGGGGTTGTTTTAAATAAATGTGTTTATATATATGGTGGTAGTTACATAATTTCATGTCAACTTGATAAATAGGTGTAGGGGTGGAGTCTAGCCTGTCAATCAGGTCACAGCCTGATGATGGCTCCTTGTGGGCGTGGCCTTCCCATGAGGATTCTGGGAATTTCCTCTCTTTCTCCCTGGAGGTGGGCCACACTCTCTCCGCTTCACTTTCCTGCAGTTGAGACACCCAGAGAGCTGGACGAGCCATGTGGAGACCCATACCCCCATACCACAAGACTTTCCACCCACCGGCCTGTGATCTTCCTGCATTTGTTATCATTGCATGTGCTCTGTGATTCTGCAGAGGAGTTTATAGACTAGGATTGGACATGTGGGCTAATATCAGATTTATGGACTTGCTCTAGACTGGGCTGGGATGCTTTCTTAATAGACAATTACTCTTCCATATAAAGTTCTTTCCTGTACATATATGAATGTCCCTGGATTTGTTTCTCTAGTCAACTGGGTCTAACACACACATATATGTCTACACAATCCATCTCAAGAAAGGAGATTAACAATATCCTGTTAAACCCTCTTTATACGTGATTCTCCCCCAAGCTCCCCCCAACCCAAATCCTTCCTCTCGTTTCAATAACAGGGAGAGTATTTTCCCAATTCAGTGTAATACAAATTTCTTTCAAATGTTTAGATAAATCCATAGAATTGAAAATAGTTATTGTAGTAATCATTTTGGGGAGCAGATGTGGCAGTCTGCTCCATACAGATTATAGCCTTGAGTCCCTGGGAGGTCGTTCCACTCTGTCTATCTCATTGCCATGAGTAGGAATTGACTGGCATTTGTTTGTTTGAATCGATACTTTTTAAAGAACTGGTTTCAACTATGGAAGCACAGATTTCTGGTATCTCAACCAGACAAAACATCAATTGCTAAGCATGCCAACCGAAAACGTCACATCGATGTCCCTGTTCTGAACATCGTAATGGGAACCTCATTTAACTGAGCTGTGGGTAGGCAGGTGAATCATAAGTAAATCAAGGTTTCCTACCTTGGAACTTAAATCGTTTGCATTAGATCAAATTCACCAAAGAAGGAGAAATCTGGTGTAAGACAAAGAAACAGATTAAAAGCCCTCAGGAATTTTTGTTGGAAAGAATTACACCAGACTGGAGAATTTCCTGATTAGATTAAGAACAGCCAGGCAGCTGAGAAAATTCGTATCTGATTTTTCTGCACTGCCACCCTTCTCTCCATTCCATCAGGCTTTAACACTCCCGACACCTGAAGACAGAGCAGGGAGTGGAAGGATCGGGCGTGAGTTCTTTCAGGGCTGCCCTTTCAGCTTACCTTAGCCGCTGTATGTTTGACGTGACCCCTGAAAGCCGATAGACGCCATCCACAATGCCATGAGTCTCTATGAATTTTGCACAACTCTTCAATACATACGGAACTATGGAGAGGAAAAGACAATGAAATATTAGATGGAAGTCTGATGTTCCTTGAAAGATGTTTTTTAAAAATCTAGGTAACTTCAAAGTATGGAACCCTTGAGCATTATCTGTTCCTTTGCCATTTAAAAAAAAAATCAAAGGGTTACTGAAGTTTAAAAATTAGTGTTTTTAAGAGGTCCCCCTCCCCGCCGTTTTTAAATTTGAAAAACAAAATTAGAAACTTGGAATTTGAGTTCAGAAATTTAGAACGAGGAAAATGTTCTAAAATTGACTGTGGTGATGATTGCACAACTCTTTTTGGTATGGTTGAACCTTGAATTGTATGATACGTAAATTATATGCCGATAAGACATTTTTTTCTCAAAGACTTAAGAATTTGAAACCAGTGGTGACTCTGGGAATTATACAACTCAGTTTCCTCATTTCACAGGGTTTTGACGTGGCATCCCCACTAGCAGCAGCGTCAGGCAACTTGTTGGAAATGCATAGTCTCAGGCCCCACTCCAGACCTACTGTGTCAGACATTCTGGGGCGGAGCCCTACAATCGGTTTAAACCATCAGCCCAGGTTACCAGCTCTGATGCATGTATGTGTGAGAGAGCCACAGTCTCATTTGACAAATGAGGAGAGTGATTCACAGGTAAATGTCCTTAATTTGCCAAGATGACTTACTGTTTTGAAAAACAACTCCCCCCAATAAAATGATTAAAAAAGAAAAACAATTCATAGGTGGAAATGCTTGTGCCATAGACAAAAGAAAAGTGACACAAAATGAAATACACATTATGAATTCAGTGATGTGAGGAGGGGAAAAAAAATCAGAGAGGCAATACACTGAGGTAGGGGATGGATTTTGGGCCTCTGCTCATACCCTCCCTCAATACAAGAACACTTTGTTCTAACCAATCGGCAGTCTGTGATGTTCACCCTCCCAACACAATTGCTGAAGACAAAACAGGTGCATAAGCAAATGTGGTGAAGAGGGCGGATGGTGCCTGGCTATTCAAAAATATAGCATCTGGGGTCTTCAAGGCTTGAAGTTACACAAGCCACCATTCAGCAGTGAAGCATCAAGTCCACATGGAAGAAGCACACCACAGGTGTGATCATGGGGAGTCATAGGGTCCGGGTAAGAGGCATCAGCAGACATATAACAAACAAAAACATATTCTTGAGAACGAGGGGGGTTGGAGCAGAGATCCAAAGCCCATCTGCAGACAATGGAACAATCTCCCCACAGAGGGGCCACAGCGAAGGGATGAGTCACCAGGGTGCAGTAAAGCATCGATGAAACACACTATATATTCTTCTCACTCCTTGAGGCTTCCTCACCCCCCACTACCATGACCCCAGTGCTGCTTCTCAATTCAAACTAGACCGGAACATGTACACAGGTATAGAAAGGGATGGGAGCTCATGACACATGGAATCCAGGAACAGGAGTGGGAATAGTGATACCAGAAGGGTAGGGGGAGGTGGGGGAGAGGAAGGGAGAAAGGGGGAATGGATAGCAATGATCGATACATAATCATACACCCCTCTACAGGGGGAAGAACAACAGAAAACATGGAGGAAGAGACACAGCAGTCAGTATGCGAGATGAAAATATTAGCAAT